GTGTGTCCCACCGGGCAAGCCACCACGGAGAGGACACAGGATCCCCCCCTGGGCCCGCCGTGCCCCTTCGAGGGGGTGGCCTGGACCCCAAGACCCCCCCAGGGCCCCCCGCAGGATTGCTTCGCCTGCATCGCCAAGCCCCCGGCTCTCCGGCAAGCTTCGCCTGTCCTGTCCCCTTCTTCCGACGTTTATCTCATGGAGAGCAAGAGCTGCAAAGGGGACAGCCTGCGGCCGGCAGTGCCGTGCAAGCACTCAGTGGAGAAGAAGACAATGACCAACCCCACTACCGTCATCGAAATCTACCCCGACACCACCGAGGTGAACGACTACTATCTCTGGTCCATTTTCAACTTTGTATACCTCAACTTCTGCTGCCTCGGCTTCATCGCCTTGGCCTATTCACTGAAAGTGAGTACTGAGCACGAGGCACAGGGCGAGGGGTGGCCAGAGATGGTGGGAGTGTTTGGAGGTCGCGCCTGATGTATATCAAATCTTTGCCACCCAAATGAGAGGTTGCACCTGCTGGGGATGGGGATGAGGAGAGCCAAGGTGCATTTTGGAGCCGGGGATGTGGCTTCAGGTGGGAAAGAGGCGCTTTGACTTGCTCCGGTACCCTCGGAGGCTCCTCTGTACCGTGGTGGCAGGGTGACGGGCAGGCAATGCAGGGCCAGCTCGGCTCGTGCTGCGCCTGCAGGCACCCCGGCGCTCGGTCCCTTCTTAAGGATCCTGTTGGTTAGAGATCTTGTCAGGGTAGGATCCAGCAGCATCGCATCGTCGGGCAGAAGCAATAAGAAGCAACTGGCCAGGATCAGCCGGTGCCTGGCAAGTCGTGGGTGGGAGAGGCTGCCAAGGTGCAGGGCAATCCTGCCTGTTTCCTTCTTGCCCTCTCCCTAATTAAAACACCAGAGCTGGTGGCCAGCTCCACCTCTGTCCCCGAGCTCTATAAAACCCAAGACAAGCCCTGGAGACCTGCCAGTATCATGGGAACAAGCCCCGGGTAGCTGAGGAGGGGGAAGAAAGTGCAGGGGAGCTTTGCACAGCGTTGGGGCTGGAGGGAAATAGAACTGTGTTGATGGAGAGGGCGATGGCATGGAGTACAGCCAGCGAAGGAGCTGAGACTAGGTTACTCCCAGTAGCTGCAGGGGAGAGCAGCCCAGCAGGGATGGCGCCCGGCAAACAGGCAACCCCTCGGCAGCTGCCGGGAGAGAGGGGCCTGGGCTGCCCTCCCCTTCCCTGCCTGCTAGCCTCAAAACTAACTGAATGGTTGTGCAGAGAGCCCAGGGGCAGCTGGGTGGCCCTGCAGAGGAGCTAGCTGATTTGTTTTGGTAGGCAGCATTTAGAGGAAGGCCAGGGCGCAGATGGGCTTCGTCACAGAAGCAGATCAATTAACCCCATCCAGATCCCGTGAGCTGGACTGCGAGTGCCCAGCACTGCAAGGAGGCTGCTCCTGAGCCCGTCAGGGTCTCCGGCACAAAGGCTCATGGTCAAGTCCGCAGACCCGTGCCCTGGGCTCGCCCAGCACTGGCACCGTGGTGCCTGCCTCAGTTTCCCTTTCCCCGAGATGGGCAATGAGCACCCATCCGCCACCCATGCAGCAGGCTTCACTGCTGCGTGGGTGAGGCATTTAATAGCTGAAATCATGCTTGGGCTGAGCAGCATCACCACAAGCAGGACTGACCCAAGGGCAAATCCAGGCAGCGGCAGCCTAACATGAGTGGGGAGGAGGGAGTCCCTTAACACCCCCACTCATTTAGCCAGCGAGGGAAGAAACTGGCTTCCTCCTTTTTTTGTGTCTTGGCTCATCTGAATTTACCGTTAACGATCAGTGTCTTTCCCATGCAAGAGGCACGGTCACAGCAGGCTAAGAAAGGGTTTCACATCACAGGGACACAGCAGTAGCTACAGCGGGTATCTGGGTAGATGCAGTCCCTTGGCTGCAGCCAGCAGTGGGGGCAGGACAGCCTGAGGACCAGGCTGACCCATCCCCAGGGGACAGGACGGAGTAGGGTTTGCCACCTACAAGGTTTTTAAAGGCTGGACCCTTCACTATCCTTGACATGAAGTAGAAGGAAGGGCAAAGCCCAGAAGTAACCCGGGGCCGGAGCCTCATGCCGGGGCAGAGGTGTGGGTTCAGCATCTGGCTGCAAACGTCTAGAGGACATAAACTCCAGTGTGAAAAAAAGAAGCGGCGGCAAGGGAAGGCAAATGGGCAAGTATGTTCTAAATCAGGGAAAGGAAAATAGAAGATGGGTGTCAAAAACCAGCCTTGGCTTTTGACTGCAGAGGCGGTAGCTGATCGGATGTAACGGTGGTACCTGAACAGTCGTGGAGCTGAGCAGGTAGAAGTAACTCTGCTCTGGTCTTGGAGCTCCCCAGTGGCTGTGACTCTGTGGCAGAGGGAAAATAGAAACAAAATGTCCCTCAGAGGTGCAGAACAGAGCTAGCAAGTGGTTGAAGGGATGGCGAATGCCCTTGTGGGCTGCTGTTCGGGTGGGTGGTGGGAGGCAACGGGGATGCTGGGGCAGTAGCAGAAGGTCTGTCCTGGGGAAGACCACTGGGATGTTAAGAAAGATGGGATCCTTCCTCACTCACAGTTACTGCAGAGACCTTCACAATATCCCGGCCAAGCTGGATGTTAGGGTCATTTCTCCAGAAGCCTGTTGTTTTCATCTCTTTTACAGTCAGAAGTTCAGAGAAAGCAGAAGCAAGGAATGCCCTGGGGACAGATGTCCCTTTAAACAGACTTCTCTTGTTCCTCTGCAATTAAATGTAAGGACAATTTAGCAGCAGATAACTTAAGTCCCAGCCTTTGTAGGATGTCTGTGCTCTGCAAAGACGGAGTAAGGTGCTATGGGAGGGAGAGGAGGGGAGCAGCAGCTTCCCCTCCCTGAGCCCATTCTGGGACCTCTGATGGCAGAGCCCTCGGCCAGTGGAGCACAAGTTTCCTGGCTGAAGGGCCTTCAGGGCGCTGATGGCATTAAACGGTTCCCAGGTTATGGTTTTTCCATTTCCTTTAAATATCTGAAACATCTAGCAACCTCAGGAATCATCGTTTTCATTGTCAGAAATAGCATTTTCAATACCCTGCCATAAACATCATCTGCTTTTGCCAGATTCATACTGTTAATAAAGCAGTAGCTCCTTCAAGCTCCAGGTCCATGAGATGTTTCATTACAGACCTTAGCACACCCTAGTATTTCCACCAGTTTCAGCAGCACAATGCCCACACTGGAAGCCAGATGTATGCTTAGGTACACTTGAATATTACCGTAAAGCTGTCTTCTTCCCCATGCCCACTTTTATTGGTTTCAGCCACAGGGAAAACAGTACCTCCATGTCTGCCTGCCCTTTTGCACGCCAGCTGCAGCCTTCTAGATTTCTTTCTGCAGGGAAATGCTATTTCATGGTGACCACCACTTACTAAAAAATGCCAAAAACCCACCCCAGCACCAAAGAATTTATGCTCTTACTCAAAGAAACACATGAAGTCAGGTGACAGCAAAGACTGTGACATCCAAGCCAGGTATTCTGTGTGACAGACACCCCAGCCAAGCGCTCTGAATAACAGTGTGACGGCACGCCTCGTCTTTATTTACACCCGTAGCAGGCCAGATCCTCAGCAGAGAGCTTGCTGGGCTGCAACAGAGTTGCACCGACTCAGGTATCCCTCCGGGGGTTATTTCTAGCATCTCAGGCTTCTCAAGGTCAGCCTCCCAGAGCACAAGCAAGGTGCTCACATGTAAGCATACGTTCGTGCTGGGGAAGAAGAGATAAACAGCAGGACCAGGAAAGTTAGAAATCCTAAAGTAACCTTAAGCCCAGCCCAGCACAGGTGCGAGGAACGCTCCAACAGCAACACTTTGGATTCAGTTGGTTTTCTCACCAGGAGCAAATGCCGTGGCCCAATATTCGGCAGCTCCCTCCCCTCCTCTTTCCCAGCTCCAAGCGGTAATTAGATGCATCAGCGCCTGGTGGCAGGAGATCTCACTTCAGTTGTTAGGAGGTCCATCTCCAGAGACCGCTGGGGTGACTCAAGTCCTTCTCAGTACCCATGATGCCATGAGGCGGTAGATCAGGAGGTGGGATCTGAGATGAGCCACAGTACGGATGCCATTGTGGTTGTATAGTGTCAAAGATGGCAAGAAGCCCCGCTGGCTTTTTAAGCCCCACCAGCAGCCCACGGGGTTGCTCACAGTTTTCCTGCCCCTCGAGGCCACTGAAATTTGCGGTGTGATAGCATGCCAGGACAGCTGAGCTCTCCTGCCCGCCCTCTGCCCGGCCCTTAGCATGCAGCTCTGGGCACAACTGTTTACCTTTCCCTCTCGTTCTGTGTTGACCTTCCCCGTTTTGAGTGGAAGCAGACCAGCCAAATCCATAGTTATTTATTAACCCCAAGAAGCAGAGAGGCTATGGCACCCAACTGCTCAGGCAGGCTCTCAGCCCGCCTTTTAGGAGGAGCAATGGTTTATGGAGGTGGGTGAAACAGAGAGGTGACAGCCCCGTGACGCCTGTGCTGGCATGGTGGACGCACACGGGCTGGAGAGCTCTCGACCAATTCACAGAGCAAATAAATCCAAGGATCCCCTGCAGAGCTCCTTATGTGTAGGGACGCAAAGCTCTGCACGGAAATGGGTTTACAGACAACCAGCTGTGGGCTGCATGATAAAAGCCAGGCTGCCTTAAATACAGCCTCATTAGGCTTGTTATCAACAAACTGTCTCCTCCTGCAAACTGAGGCAGCACTTTGTACCTGCACAGCAAGTTCCCTGCTCCTAAAAACGAGAGGGGCCGAGCCCCAGAGCAGAGAGAGGGGAGGTGGCTGCTGGGGAAGGGACCAGGAAGGAGCGGGACAGTAGGAGTCAAGGGGAGTGCTTGGAGAGGAAGCTGAAGGCAAAGCCCCAAGGGGAGGAAGGGCAGGAGATGGTGGTCAGAGGGAAGGCAGAAAGAGCCCTCAGGCACCGGCACGCTGGAGGTGTTGGAGGACAAGGTGAGCTGGAGATTTTGGAGAACAAGGTGAGCTGGAGATGGTGGAGGACAAGGTGAGCAGCAGAGAGGTGACAGACAAGCAGGAACGGAGGGAAAGGCCACCACTGCCTTTCACTGGTGGGAGAGGGGAGGAGGAATGTTTGCATGTTAAACCACAAAAGCGGGCTGTGTTTCATGGAAGGCCAGGCATGGAAGAGGAAAGGAAATGTGTAAGTTGCCAAGCCAGACCAGAGATGAGCTTTGCCTTGTCCAGGGTGGGATCTCGAAAAGGGCCACCGTGCAGCACTTTGAGGTGCCTGGGAAAACCCCGCAATCAGCAGATGCAGGATAATTGTCCTTACACACCAGTCATCTCAGTGCAAAGCAGGGCCAAAAATCCCCAAATAATTTTAGGCAAGGTGAGAAGGGTCAAAGTGACGATGAAAAAAGAATCTGTGACCAAGGAAACACCACACTTGGGTTTGGGGGGGTTCAGCCTTGTGATCTTGGGGACCTGTCCCTCCCATGCCTCACCTCCTCGGCTGTGGACGGAAGCAGCTTCCAGAGCTCCCAGAAGCTCGTGCAACCAGCTGCCAGCACATTATGGTGATGGTGGCCACAGGAGCATGAAAATAGGAAAAGCTGAGGCTGGGCTATGAGAAAGACACTGGCATCTCCTTAAGGACAGAGTGGGGAAGGAGCCAAAACGTGTATCTGGTCTCCAGGAGAGCTCCTCCTCCAGAGGCTGGCTCGGATGCCACAGCAGGACATTGAAGGGAGACGTCTGTGAGCGTCTGGGGGTGCAAGGCCAGGTGGGAGGAGGTGAGGCCATCCTGGAGAGATGTGGGAGGCTGGGGCTGCGAGTGGTTTGGAAGAAGAAACACCTTTTCATTGCACTTGTGTGCCGCAGGGGCCCTGGCACTTGTCCAGCACTTAAAGGCTCTGTTGCAATATAAATGATAATGGACAATAAGGGATGATTTGCATGAGGGTGACCACTGAAGCCATAGGTGTATGGGGAAATAATAAGGGAGGAGAGGAAGGGGACCAAGGACTCAGCGAGGATGAGGGATCCAGGCAACCAAGGCCTGAGCGGCTGGAGGAGAGCTAAGGAAGGCAAAGGGAAGGGAAAGGGCGGGGAAAGGGCAGGGGGCTGACAGAGATGGTTAATGAGGGCAGAGCTCTGTGTGCCTCACAGATTGGTAGGAGTGGGTGGGTGGGACTGACCACAGGGGCAGGGAGAGGAGAGGGCAGCCCCAGGCGTCCCTTGCTAGAGATGCTGAGGAGCAGCAGGACTGGAGCAGGGACAGAGGGAGAACCATGGGAAAGTCAAGGGCAGGCGCTGCTGAAGCGGGCCGTGGGAAAGAGCTAAAGCGCCGGTCACGAGTGCAAGCTGGTGTCAGGTGGGAGAGGCTGCTGGGAGCACTGGGAGAGGGCTGGGCACGGAAATTAGGGCAGCAGGGCACCCCAGGGAAAGGAGGAGCAGGAGGAGAGGAGCACGGGAGAGCTCCGGGGACCAAGAGGCACTGGCCCCACAAAGGCAAAGCAAGCTGCTCGGCGGCAGGAGGGTTGCAGAGCTTGGTGTGCCAGCCACGCCAGTCTGCTGGAGAAACCTCTGTCTGCCTGTCAAACACTGATGGCAAACACCGGCTTGCCTGCAGCAGAGAGCGACCTCTCCCAGCCGTGGCTGTGTTACAGCAGAGGAAGGGGCAAAAGGCATTTGCTCTGCACAGGGTTTGCCTCCGGCAGCCCCGCCAATGGGAAGAGGAAAGCATGTGAGAGCTTCAAAGACCCTGCCAGGAGCAGCGGGCGGGATTTCTGGCCCAAATCCAGCGCCCTTGGGGCTCTGGCTGCAGGGACCTCCACGCTTCTCACCGGCAGGTGAGGAGGTGCCTGCTGCCTGGCACTGCTGTGCCCAGGGGGTTTCGGGAGGATGCTAAACCTACTGAATAATTTCAAAGGTAAGTCATCCCGGACACACAGCTGACACAAAAAGGCGTGCAGGCTCCCAGGCTGCTGGCTTGCTGCCTTCCCAGAGGTCATCTCCGCTGCTGGGAGCACCAGCCAAGCATGCCACAGAGCCATGCGTGGTTTGTGACCCTCCCCTGTCCCTGCTCCCAGAAGGATGCCCAGAGACTGCCGAGCACTCGGCAGCAGGTGATGGGTGGATGGGCCCGGCTCCAGTTGCAGGCTCCTGGGAGCGGGGTGCAACAGGGGCCGAGGACATGGCACCACAGGATTTAATACGAGGAGAAAAACAGAGCTCTCATTCTTGCTTATGTGCCTGCTGGTGCTGGCTCCTGCAGGCCTCATGCCGGCAGCAGCCTCCCTCCCCACAGTCTAGGATTAATGAAGAGCAGGGGGTGCTTGTGCAGAGAGGTCCTCAGTGGTCTGATGGAGGAGGGGACATTGCTTGAGGGTCTGAGATGTGGTTTTGGAGGTCCCGTGAACTAGCATGGCTCAGTGGGAACAAGAGGTTCAACAACCCTTCCCCATATCCAGCAAGTCACAGAAGGCTTTCAGGACAGCCCCATGGGTAAGCACTGCAGGAGGGAGAGAGAAAAAGTCACTAAGATGCGGTTTGAATCCATCGCAGAGTCTTTTCGGAAAGCTCCTGGTCGATAAAACCTTTTAATATTTCTAGGTAGGACTCTGGGGCTGGTTTTCACAGCCTGCCACCGACATCTAGCGTTCAGCCGGCAGCACCTTGATGGTGCTCATGCTGCCAGCAGCAAAGGCAAGCGAAGGACACGTGGCCCCGCGGCCTGCAACCCTCTGGCCGCAAAGCGGGCAGCAAAGCAGGTGCTGCCACACTGTGCCGGCCCCTGGATACCCCACTCGGATACAGGAAACGGAAGAGGGGTAAAGTCTCCTGGTCCTTTTGTTCCATATCCTCATGGCCCCAGCTGCCTGGGTCTGCTGAGTGACAGCTGACGGGGCGTTTGGGGATGGGGACACATTCCTGCTAGGAAGGGATGGAGCCTGACCACTCATGTGCTGGGCTTAAACTGCAGAGCTGCTGCTGGCCAGCCATGCCATCAGCTGCCTGGCTGTGCCATCCGCTGCTTGCATGTGCTATGTGCTGCCTGGCTGTGCCATCGCTGCCTGGCTGTGCCATCTGCTGCCTGACGATGCCATTGATGCCTGGCAGTGCCATCACTCCCTGCTAGTGGTATTCGCTGCCTGGTGATGCCATCTGCTGCCTGGTAGTGCCATGCACTGCCTGGCTGTGCCATCCACTGCCTCGTAGTGCCATTCTTGCCTGCTAGTGGCATCGCTGCCTGGCTGTGCCATCTGCTGCCTTGCAATGCCATCACTGCCTTGCAGTGCCATGCGCTGCCTGGCTGTGCCATTGCTGCCTGGTAATGCCATCCCTGCCTGCTAGTGACATTGCTGCCTTGCAGTGCCATCTGCTGCCTGCTAGTGCCATCGCTGCCTGGTAACGCCATCCCTGCCTGCTAGTGTCATCACTTGCCTTTCAGTGCCATCCGCTGCCTAGCTGTGCCATCCACTGCCTGCTGGTGCCATCGCTGCCTGGCAGTGCTATGCACTGCCTGGCAGCCCGGAGGAGATGGAGGCAAACCGGTGACATGGACATGCACAATCCTTACCCACTGCAGAGCTGTCCCAAGGCAAGCCCATGAAAGTCCCAGCCCGCAGGATAATGAAGAGAGCAGACCGCGCTGTCAGGATTGAAAACTGCCAGTGGCAGAGACGCTACACAAGCCGCATAGGACCTGCAAAAGGAACTCATTAACCCAGGACTGCTTAATATGCTGGAGGCTCGTGCGCAGCCCTGGAGCTGCAGTAGGATGCCGTGCCAGGTTTCGCCCGGTCAGCCCCTCAGCGCAGATGGAGGCAAGGGGATGCACACTGAAACTGCAGCCAGCCTTCTGGCTCATGGGCCAGGCAAGCCAAAGCCCAGCACTGCAGGGCCAGGGGGCTGCAACACGGTGGGAAGGATGCTTTAGTGCCCACGTGTATGGGGTGCACTACAGCACCTCAGTTCCCTTGTGCACCCTTGGGCTCAAAATGGCACTGCCCCACTCCAGGGGCCACGGGGACTTGGTTTGCCTGGTTGGTAACAGCAACGGGTCACTCTTCCAGGTCTTCTCCACTCCCAGGGATTTCCAGCCCACAGGTATCACAGTGCTTGGCTTCACAAGCTCAACCCATAGCAGAGCCAGGGTGCAAACCTCACCTCAGGGTGTTTTATGGCACCCCAAGCATTCAAATGCAAAGAGGCATAGCCCAGCCCTCGTCCACTGCACAGGTACCCTACAATGTGGGTGTTGCTTGAAACAAGTTATGTCTTTTCATACATCTCCCAATTTTTTTTTTTTTTTTTTT